TTTATGGTGAGATGGATGCAACTTGATTTATAGAGGAAAACTGCTCCTGCCCCTCAGTGGCGTTGAGCTCTGGGTAATAGGACAGCCAGCCTCCTTCTGTAAAGAAGGCTAAGTTTCTGAGCCGGTTGTCAAACATCATAAATCATGGAGACCCAGGCCAGGTCCTGCTCAAAGACATAAACTTAAAACAAGCACGGGCATAAGGCAATAAATAAGCAGCGTGTGGGTCTTACATGAAAGAACAGAGGTCATCCAAGTTGTGTGGCAGGGAGAGCTCAGAGGTCACTGCAGGTTGATGTCCATCAAGTAGAGTTCAGTCCTGTATGTTTCCTGCCGCTCTGCTCAAGGTGGCCTGGGAAGGGAGCTGAACTCTTCTGCAGGTTTTATTCTGACTAATGAATGACATAGACTTGGAGGTATGAAGTGTGGTAGAAGCCATCTACTGCTTTAATTACCTGTGACCTTAATACTGTCCATGCCTGGAGGATATGGTCTCTGATTGAATGATGCCTCCCTACAGTTGGCCATTCCACAAAATAAGAATCTAAGAGTCTCTTTTAAAGGGGGCTCATGGGTTAGCCCTAGACAAAACAAATAAAACCCTTAGGACTGTGCCTCTAAAACACTCACCCAACCCTGCAATATTCTAAGGGAGCTCGGCTCCCTCTTGTGGCCTAAAAACATGTGTCCATTTGTTCCACCCTCCTTGACTACTTTACAGGAGCCAGTCTTTTGCCAACTACACCGCGAGCTTTCTAGCCTTTCTTGTGGGAAAATAGACGCAGCCCTGGTAACTGACAGATGTACACCTGGCCAGTTACTGCTCATGCACCCGAACTTCTCTTTTGGGCAGTGTTGTATCATAGTCTTCGGCTCTAAGTTCAGTGTTCTCAGGCATTCTATCTTCCTGGCTAAGTCTATCTGCCTACCTATCTATCTTTTTATATATTTACCTATCCCAAGGAATAATTGAATAATCACATCTCAAGATGCTATTGTGTAATAAGATTTGGTTTCATTTTTTTGAAAGAGGAATTAAATCTGTTGATTGAATTTGGAGAATGAAACAGTGGACAGTAAAATATGAGATTCATGGGAGGTAAGCCTAGCTCTTTTTTTTGAAAGATATATTTATGTATTTATTGGCTGTGCCAGTCTTAGTTGTAGCATGTGGGATCTTTGCTCTTTGTTGTGTCACCCTGGATATTTAGTTGTAGCATGTGGGATCTTTCAGTTGACGTGTGTTTGTGAGTTCAATCACTAAGTCGTGTTGGACTCATTGCAGCCTTATGGACGGTGACCACCAGGCTCCTCTGTCCATAGGACTTTTCAGGCAAGAGTACTGGAGTGGATTGCCACTTCCTTCTCCAGGGGATCTACCCGACCCAGGGACTGAATCCATGTCTCTTGTTTCTCCTATATTGGTAGGTGGATTCTTTACCCCTCGGTCACCTGGGAAGCCCTCTTTAGTTGCAGCATGTGGGATCTAGTTCCCTGACCACTGATGGAACCTTGGCCCCTTGCCTTGGGATTGTGGAGTCTTAGCCACTGGACCACCAGGGAAGTCCCGGGCCTAACTTTTAGAAGTGATATATCCTGAAGGCCAGAAATGGAAAACTCAAAAGCAAAGGGGTTGCATCTTGTTCTGTCACATTTTAAAACTTATGTGGCTTTTAAAAACATAGATTTGTTTCCATCATTTAAAAATAGATTTCATATAAAAACTGCAGATAGCTTGGATTCTGACTTCTTAGAATCCAAAGATTTGACAACAGATGGTTCACATTTTCTTGTGGTAGCTGTCAGTGAATCCTGAATGATATCTGTATGCTTTAAATTCAGCACATGTCCTCCATTTTGCCACAGACCTCACCACTCCCTACAGTCTTGTGGTTGATCCATATCCCTCCATTTGTATCTGATGAGTTTGTGACTCTGTAGGCTTGTAGCATGGAAGGTCCATTCACATCCTTATTATGGCATAACTTTGGTCCCTAATGCCACAACACATTTTTGAAAAACTGAGTATTTGTCCAGAGACCTATGTCTAGCCAGGGTGGGGCATGCAGCCCCAAACTGTCCTGCCTTCACAGGGCAGGCTGACCTGGAAATCTCAAGAGAGTGATACAGGGAACTCTCAAGGCCTGACACAGTGACCAGGAATGTGTCAAAATGTAGATGTATTTCACCTTCATACAGACTAATAAGAATGTGAAAAACAACAGCAAAAGAACATGGGGTTTATCTATGTTCAGGCTATTTCTCTGTTGTTTTCGTTGTTTAGTCACCAAGTCATGTCCAACTCCTGTGTGACCCCATGGACTGTAACCTGCCTGGCTCCTTTGTCCTTAGGATTTCTCTGGGGGATCTTCCCCACCCAGGTATCAGTAGTCTGTGAGTCTTCATTTATTTGTACTGGTTTACTGATACCCTTCGGAGAAGGCAATGGCACCCCACTCCAGTACTCTTGCCTGGAAAATCCCATGGATGGAGGAGCCTGGTAGGCTGCGGTCCATGGGGTTGCTAAGAGTTGGATGCAACTGAGCGACTTCACTTTCACTTTTCACTTTCATGCATTGGAGAAGGAAATGGCAACTCACTCCAGTGTTCTTGCCTGGAGAATCCCAGGGATGGGGGAGCCTGGTGGGCTGACATCTATGGGGTCGCACAGAGTTGGACATGACTGAAGTGACTCAGCAGCAGCAACAACTGATACCCTTGAACACATGCTATTTATTAGTGCATTTGATTATGCCTGGCCTCTTCAACTCCTAGACTGTAAACTCTTGAAAGACCGATTTCCTCCTCTAGTTCTTTTCCCTTCTGTCTTTTGTTCTTCCCCTTATCTCCCAATTTCCCATAAAATAAAACACATTCAAAGAATTGTGGTTTTGATCTTTCAGTCAGTTCAGTTGATTATTCATGTCCAACTTTTTGCAACCCCATGGACTGTAGCACGCCAGGCTTCCCTGTCCATCACTAACTCCTGGAGCTTGCTTAAACTCATGTCCATTGAGTCGGTGGTGCCATCCAACCATCTCATCCTCTGTTGTCCCCTTCTCTTGCTGCCTTCATTCTTTCCCAGCATCATGATCTTTTCCAATGAGTCAGTTCTTTGCATCAGGTGGCCAAAGTATTGGGGCTTCAGCATCAGTCCTTCCAATGAATCAGTTCAGTTAAGTTCAGTCACTCAGTCATGTCTGACTCTGTGACCCCATGGCCTGTAGCACGCCAGGCTTCTCTGTCCATCACTAACTCTTGGAGCTTGCTTAGACTCATGTCCCTTGAGTCAGTGATGTCATTTCAATGAATATTCAGGACAAATTTCCTTTAGGGTTGATTTTTTTGATCTCCCTGCAGTCCAAGGGACTCTCAACAGTCTTCTCCAGTGCCACAGTTCCAAAGCATCAATTCTTTGGTGTTCAGCTTTCTTTATGGTCCGACTCTCACATCCATACATGACCACTGGGAAAACCACAGCTTTGACCAGACAGACCTTTGTTGGCAAAGTAAGGTCTCTGCTTTCTGATGCTATCTAGGTTGGTCATAGCTTTTCCTCCAAGGAATAAGTGTCTTTTAATTTCATGGCTTCAGTCACCATGTGCAGTGATTTTGGAGTCCAAGAAAATAAAATCTGTCACTGTTTCTGTTATTTCCCCATCTATTTACAATGAGGTGATGGGACTGGATGCCATGATCTTAGGTTTTTGAATGTAGAGTTTTATGCCAGCTTTCTCACTCTCTTTCACTTTCATCAAGAGGCTCTTCAGATCCTCTTTGCTTTCTGCCATAAGGGTGGTATTGTCTTCATATCTGAGGTTATTGATATTTCTTCTGGCAATCTTGATTCCAGCTTGTGCTTCATTCAGTCCAGCATTTCACATGATGTACTCTGCATATAAGGGTAAATAAGCAGGTTGACAATATATAGCATTGATGTACTCTTTTCCCAGTTTGGAACCTGTCTGTTGTTCCATGTCCAGTTCTAACTGTTGCCTCTTGACCTGCATACAGATTTCTCAGGAGGCAGGTAAGTTAATCTGGTATTCCCATCTCTTTAAGAATGTTCAACAGTTTGTTTTGATCCACACAGTCAAAGGCTTTGGCGTAGTCAACAAAGCAGAAGTAGAAGTTTTTCTGAAACTCTTGCTTTTTCTGTGATCCAGCGGATGTTGGCAATTTGATCTCTGGTTCCTCTGCCTTTTCTAAATCCAGCTTGAATATCTGGAAGTTCTCAGTTCACATACTATTGAAGCCTGGCTTGGAGAATTTTGAGCATTACTTTGCTAACATGTGAGATGAGTGCAATTGCGTGGTAGTTTGAGCATTCTTTGGCATTGCCTTTCTTTGGGATTGGAATGAAAACTGACCTTTTCCAGTCCTGTGGCCGCTGCTGAGTTGTTCAAATTTGCTGGCATATTGGGTGCAACACTTTCATAGCATCATCTTTTAGGATTTTCAATAGCTCAACTGGAGTTTCATCACCTCTGCTAGCTTTGTTCATAATGATGCTTCTTAAGGCCCAAGTGACTTTGCATTCCAGGATATCAGGCTCTCGGTGAGTGATTACATCATTGTGGTCATCTGGGTCATGAAGATCTTTTTTTGTATAGTTCTGTGTATTCTTGCCAGTTCTTATTAATATCTTCTGCTTCTGTTAGGTCCATACCATTTCTGTCATTTATTGTACCCATCTTTGCATGAAATGTTCCCTTGGTATCTCTAATTTTCTTGAAGAGATCTCCAGTCTTTCCTATTCTGTTGTTTCCTTCTATTTCTTTGCATTGATCCCTGAGGAAGGATTTCTTATCTCTCCTTACTATTCTTTGAAACTCTGCATTCAGGTGGGAATATCTTTCCTTTGCTCCTTGCCTTTAGCTTCTCTTCTTTTGAGCTATATATGTGTAGATAAAAGTTTCATCAATATCCCAGCTGCTGCTTCTCTTCCTTTGCTAGATCAGGATGGAATCCTCAGAACCTTTTGTTCTTTCTTGTTTTAGGTTTTAGAATGAGACAGCGCCATGTCCTTGTGGAATCAACGGGGCCTGCGGGCCGTTGCCCTCACTTGGTGGAATCTGTTCCTTGTGAGGATCCTGTGTGTTATCAGTGGCTGACGTCGGAAGGGATCTGTATCCCTGACCATGGCAAGTGTGGCCCCGGACATCGCATCCTGAAGGCTGTCTGCCAGAATGAGCAAGGTATGACTCAAAGAAGCGTGGAGATTGAGTAATATCTGCCAAATAGCACATCACCACTCTCAGATCATCTTCCACAAGGAGAGAAACAGTCTTTCCTAGTCTTGAATTTTCATGTTTGAGTTGATGACAGTGACATATTTCTGCAGAGAAAGCTGCTTTGACTTAATATAGACCTGTATGCTCTGTGACAGAACACTGATTATACCTAAATGCAGTACAGAGAACTCAGAGAGGTCTCTGGAGTTCTTAGTTTATTAAGACATGCACAATACAAAAATTGTCTGGAGCGTCTCCAACTCATTAATACAAAACAAGATTTATTTGTGTTTATTGATGTTATTATGTAATATGTTTTTTATAGGTTATCATTATTAACAAATACCACCTTGTAAATTGCAGGACTGAAGCCCCCTCCAAGTTAAAAGGATAAAAAAAAGGACAAAGCTTCATCTTTTCAGTTATATAGCATTAGATTAGAATCAGTTATAGACATAATGCTAACAATTCTAAAGAACTGTGTTAAAATATAAGTTGTCAAGATTAACAAAACTATTAACAGTGGTGTCTTTCCTTCATCACCAAACTTCTGGTACAGTGGTTTTGTGCAATGAAGGGTGATTTAGCAAATACATAAGTCACTTGGAAATGAGAAAAGTGACATTTAAAACCTTTATCTTAGTATTAAAAAAATATTCGGTCTCCTGGAAGAGTATTGAGTATGTCTATTAATCAGTCCTGTCATGAGTAGTCATAATTTATAATGCTCATGGTGTGTGGAGTGAAATGTTTTGACTTATGTAGCGAAGAGATCCACAGAACAGAAGGAAATTACAAAGTGAACTCAGAATGGATATTAGCATTCACACATGGTTGGCGTTCAGCAGTGTATTAATATTTCCTCTTCCCTTCCTTCCTCTTGCCTCTTCTCTCTCTCATTCTCTCCTTTTCTCCATCACTTCCTTCATTCTGTCCTTCTTCCCTCTCCTTTCCCCCTCCTTCTCTCCCTCCATACATCCTTCTTTTTTAAATCACTACCATAATTATACAAATAAACATTTTTCAACCGATGTAATTGATTATCTCATGAAGCCAGGTAGTTGTTTAATTAAATAGAGAGCCGCATAAGATTGTACTAGCTATAGCCCTTTTTGACCAAATAGTTTAACAGTAGATTCTAATACTACCAAGCAATTTTTGAATTGTGGTGACATACATGTGAATTATTAACAGCAGCACCTAAGATCAGTTTTTGAATTCAAAAAGAGTAGCACAGGTGTTTAAAACCTGAGCTCTAGAGTCAGACAGGTTGGAATTTCCAGTCTGCTACTCTTCTGGTAGATGGTCTCAGAAAACTTGTTTAACTGTGGAGACATCTTTTCCTTCAGCTGTAAAGTAGTGATAATGAAAACCTACCTCTCACTCTCAGATTGTAAGAGTTAAATTACTTATATGAAAGTGATAAGTGAAGTGCCTGGCACATAACCATTCAAAATAAGCTGTGAGCTTATTTCATTTGTAATGCACACTTATTGTTTTCTGTCCTAGGGGATTTGTGCGAACAGCATTCTTTTATATGAGTAAAATGGAAATAATAATGAAGATTAGAATAACCATACTAGTTCATCTTCCCAACCTCTAGCTGTGGAAATAAGATCATTTGTTTGATTGAGACCCAGTGACAGATGACTGGCCAGCTTTGTCATAGCAGGTTTTGAAGATGTTACACAGCTGTCATACAACGTCCACAGGGCCGGGGACCCCTTTCACAATGTATACTGTACCTTCTACAGTATCACGCAGTGTGAGATTCTGATTTATAATTAGAAATATCTATCTGGTCTCCGTCCCTACTCTAGCACAGCTTCTAAAATCATTGGCATTTCTTGAGCAGGAAGAACAATTGGAGCAGCTTTTGTTATATTTGGCCAGTGGTCCTCAGTTCCTGAAATCACGTCCATAAAGTTGAAATTTGTATCTTGTTATTCACATCAAGCCCCTTTCTACCACTACTGGATTGATATTAATGAGTTGACTTTCAGAAAGCACCTAAAGGTGAGGTCTGGTTGCCCCAGGCAACCATGAGCAGAGGATCAGAACTTTCAGCCCCATCCAGTGCTATCTGGGGAAAGGGGAGTGGCTGGAGGTTGAATCAAACACTAATGGCTAATGAGTTAATCAATCATGCTTGTGTAATGAAACATCCATAAAAATCCAAAGGACACGGTTCAGAGAGCTCCCAGCTTGATGAATACATAGATATTTGGGAAGGGTATCAAGTGGAGGCTCTTTGCCCTTTCCCATACCTTGCCCTGTGCACCTTATCCACCTCATTGTTCCTGAGTTTTATCCTGTTATAATAAAATGGTTATCTAGTAAGCAAATGGATTCTCTGAGTTCTGTGAGCTACTCTAACAAACTAATCAAGCTGGAGGAGGGGGTCATGGGATCTTCTGATTTATAGTCAGTTTGGTGAGAAGCACAGGTAACCTGGACTTGAGGTTGGTGTCTCAAGTGAAGGATGGTCTTGAGGGAGTGAGCACTTTACCTGTAGACTCTGATGCTACCTGCAGACAGTATCAGAAATAAGTTGAATGGTAAAGCAGCAGGCCTGGACAATTTGCTTGATGTGGTGTGGGGAAACCACCCCCTCCTGCACATACATGTGCATGTACACCTTGGAGTTGAGGGCAGAACATTTTTGACAGGACTATCAACTTTGCCATTTTACAGCAGGTCTGGAGTTCTATTGCTTATTCCTGTGGAATAACTAATCTTCAGTGTGAGCTTACACTCAGTTTCTATGGGAGAAGTAGGAATTACTACTTGTTCAGATCAGTTTCATGAAGTGTGTGTTGTTTTTAAGTACCTGGATGGCTCCTTCATCATTTATGGGGCAACAGCCACAGTCATGGTTACAAAAATACACTGGCCTCAATGTGGCTGAAGTAGTCTTTCATCCAGTGAGAAATTGAAAATGTGATCTGAAAATTTGAAGTTCATCATCTATGAGATTCTAGACAATTCAGTTTAGTTCAGTCGCTCAGTCATGTCTGACTCTTTGCAACCCCATGAATTGCAGCACGCCAGGCCTCCCTGTCCATCACCAACTCCCGGAGTCCACCCAAACCCATGTCCATCAAGTCAGTGATGCCATCCAACCATCTCATCCTCTGTCACCCCCTTCTCCTCCTGCCCTCAATCTTTCCCAGCATCAGGATCTTTTCCAATGAATCAGCTCTTCGCATCAGGTGACCAAAGTATTGGAGTTTCAGCTTCAACATCAGTCCTTCCAATGAACACCCAGGACTGATCTCCTTTTGGCTGGACTGGTTGGATGTTCTTGCAGTCCAAGGGACTCTCAAGAGTCTTCTCTAACACTTAAGTTCAAAAGCATCACTTCTTCGGTGCCCAGCTTTCTTTGTAGTCCTACTCTCATATCCATACATGTCCATTGGAAAAACCATAGCCTTGACTAGATGGACCTTTGTTGACGAAGTAATGTCTCTTCTTTTTAATATGCTATCTAGGTTGGTCATAACTTTCCTTCCAAGGAGTAAGTGTCTTTTAATTTCATGGCTGAAGTCACCATCTGCGGTGATTTGAGCCCAGAAAAATAAAGTCAGCTACTGTTTCCACTGTTGCCCCATCTATTTCCCATGAAGTGATGGGACCAGATGCCATGATATTAGTTTTTTGAATGTTGAGCTTTAAGCCAACTTTTTCACTCTCCTCTTTCACTTTCATCAAGAGGCTCTTTAGTTCTATTTCACTTTCTGCAATAAGGGTGGTGTCATCTGCATATCTGAGGTTATTCATACTTCTCCCAGCAATCTTGATTCCAGTTTGTGCTTCCTCCAGCCCAGCATTTCTCATGATGTACTCTGCATATAAGTTAAATAAGCAGGGTGACGATATACAGCCTTGATGTACTCCTTTTTTTCTATTTGTAACCAGTCTGTTCCATGTCCAGTTCTAACTGTTACTTCCTGACCTGCATATGGGTTTCTCAAGAGGTAGGTCAGGTAGTCTGGTATGCCCATCTCTTTCAGAATTTTCCACAGTTTATGGTGATCCACACAGTCAAAGGCTTTGGCATAGTCAACAAAGCAGAAATAAATGTTTTTCTGGAACTCTCTTGCTTTTTTGATGATCCAGTGGATGTTGGCAATTTGATCTCTGGTTCCTCTGCCTTTTCTAAAACCAGCTTGAACATCTGGAAGTTCATAGCTCATGTATTGTTTGAAGCCTGATTTGGAGAATTTTAAGAATTACTTTACTAGTGTGTGAGATGACTTCAACTGTGCAGTAGTTTGTGCATTCTTTGGCATTGCCTCTCTTTGGGATTGGAATGAAAACCGACCTTTTTCAGTCCTGTGACCACTGCTGAGTTTTCCAAATTTGCTGGCATATTGAGTGCAGCACTTTCACAGCATCATCTTTCAGGATTTGAAATAGCTCAACTGGAATTCCACACCTCCACTAGCTTTGTTTGTAGTGATGCTTCCTAAGGCCCACTTGACTTCACATTCCAGGATGTCTGGCTCTAGGTGAGTGATCACAGCATCGTGATTATCTGGGTCATGAAGATCTTTTTTGTACAGTTCTTCTGCGTATTCTTGCCACCTTTTCTTAATATCTTCTGCTTCTGTTAGGTCCCTACCATTTCTGTCCTTTGTTGCACCCATCTTTGCATGAAATGTTCCCTTGGTATCTCTAGTTTTCTTGAGATCTCTAGTCTTTCTTTTTCTCTATTTCTTTGCATTTATCCCGGAGGAAGGCTTTCTAATCTGTCCTTGAAACTCTGCATTCAGATGGGTATATCTTTCCTTTTCTCATTTGCTTTTCACTTCCCTTCTATGATGACCCAAATTTGCCAGAGAAGTGCTCCTGTTTGATCCTCCACATATTGTCATAAGGACTTCCCTGGTTACTCAGATAGTAAACAATCTTCCTGCAATGTGAGAAATCAGGGTTTGATTCCTGGGTCGGGAAGATCACCT